CGTATTGAACTTAAAATACATTAGTCCAAACCGTCCGACTATAAACCTTATAGTTTATTATATATGTTTTGAATAATAGCTGAATTTTATAAATATACAATTTTGATATTTTTTTAATATATTATCTATGTACCAACACTTGTATAGGTTAGGTTACCTATAATACTTCTTCGATGTAGTTGACATATCATAACATTATATGACAAAAACAAGAATAATAAAGAAATATGTACATCCCATAATATATTCTATTATCTGCATTCTGCATACATAATATTGTTATAGTGTATGTGTATAAATATATATTTTATATATATATATGTAATATGTGTGTAATATGTACATGTGTGTGTGTGTGTGTGCTTAATGTATGTACGAGTATTGTACAGTGTATTGTACTACATATATTTGGGTTAGGTTGTCTGCGACGTTTAAACGACATATGAAATCGTATACTTAATATTTATGTAGGACACGCGCTCCGAAGGATAATTTCCAATCGATCCGCAACACGCGTACAATAATAATAATCGTTATAGATAACCATATACCTAAGTAATCAGATTCTGTGTGTGCATGCACATTATAATATCGTACGAAGTGATGATGGTCGTGCTTTGGCAAAAATCAAGAATTCATAACACTATTCCTTACGACATAAAATCGTGATGGAACGCTGCTGAACACACATCTAGATTTTCGTCCCACTACCTACAGAAGTCGTTTGACAATAATAATTAATATTATATTATACGATTTGGTGTGCTCAGTGCGCATACGGTGACCTCGACGTTTATACCCGTGTAATAAGGGTATATTATACCCATTGGATATATTATATTATTGTAGGAGTTTTTCGATTTAAGTATATTATACAGAGTGGGCCACCGCGTTTTCGCGTTTTCCCCCCTATATCTGCACTGCGGGAAAACCGGGAAAACAAGGTGACCCAGCCTGTATAATGTACGTCGGCAGGACCGTAGTCGAGATATTTTCGCGATACCCTTTTATCGCAGGCGGATATAGAAAATTACACTTTCGGTGGCCCTCTTTACTAGCTATAATAACGATAACAATAACTGCAAATAAACGCGATAAATTATAGACGAATCGCATAATAAACCTTTTTAAAATTAAAAATACAAAAACCGATATTTTTCTTCTTTAAAGCAGAGCAGTTTTATTATATAACAACTTCGTATGTGCGCATTTATTCATCGCATGACAATGCTAGACCGACACCCGTTAGGTATTATATTATAGTAATACGATACCTAATACTATATGTACACTCCGGGATCAACAAATTAATAAATTAATGTGAGTAATAAATTTAGGTAATTTATATTTTTATAATGCGTGGTTTCGAGTTACGCAGATACGTACAAAAAAGTTACGAAAAATGTCAAGTGGGGATTTTCCACTCCACCCTATCTCACTCGTAAATAACGCCCGTGATAGTCAGACTATTTCGGTATAGGTATGGCTGGTAGTCGACGGAATGTTTCGTTTACTCGACGATAAAAAGCCCGACGCACCCTAAACGAACCCCTCCCATTTAAGCGATTAACAATTATCGTGTACGCACCATATAATATATATATTATTATTACGACGATGAAACCCGAAACGTGTGTGTGTGTGTACATAAAACCGACGCCTGCTGCAGTAAACACCGGTTGATTGACATCGTATTGGGGGGGGGGGGGTGTACCTACGCTAGACCATCATTTTGTATTTAACGCAGTCGACGTGATTTCCGTTGAATATGTTTTTCCTTTTTCAACGCCGCGGTATGAGTAAGGTGTGACCACACGATACCACAGCGGTTACGAGGTGATGTGTATTATACCGTTGCCACCGTTCGGAGTTTTTATAATTACATACTTTTTTATTTATTTATTTTTCTATTAGAAAACAAGAATATATACAATCTGTAATAAATGTATACAATAGGGAAGGGGTACAAGTATACAGGACAGGGCGGTAAATAGAAACGGTTGGTCCAATGGCCCTATACTTCATAAATTACATACTTACGTAGGTAATATATTGGATTGCTTATATTAATTTTTTTTATCGACTTTCACGGACTGCTCAGTCGGTAGCTTCCTTTTATTCTCAGTAGAAATTTAATAATATTTTTTAGAGCCGGTCGTAAGCGTGCAACGAACACAGAAATTTTCAAACTTATGAACACCGTTTGCCCGCAGCGAGTCCTAAACCTAATTATAGTTACCATTATTATTTCCGTCTCTTTTTGTACGTTGACGTTTTCATATTTTTTTAAGTCGACAAACGCGTCGCTAACGATGTACAATATGTGATATATATATACCTATGCTGACTGTCCAGCCTTGAAACGTGTGATGAAATTTTTTTGTCGGTCGACCGAGGAAATTTAAACGCGTTTTGTCCGTCGAACAAAATCAATCATAAAATCACACCCTACGACTCGAGGCCGGAACTTAAGTGTTCATCGATACATTTTACATGATAATATATTTTGATATCGTTCATTGAAATAGCGCGATCGGCATATTTTAATACACATATCATACAACTTGTAACGAGTGCTTTTGACTATGGCAAGTGCAAACACACGGCATTGTTATGATCTGACCCACATGTACCTATAGGTATACAGTATATACCGTATACCTACACTATAATGGTACCTATTTTATTATAATATACAACTCGCTGTTAATAATTATAATGCTTTTATGTCCGGACGAACGCGAGATCAAAACACAAGGTTTTGCGCGACCGCGCGGACTTAATGAAAACCGTAATTTAGACGACAAAACGTGCATATTATTATTATTATTATTATAACCGCGCCAGGAGGCTGTTGTGTTTTTCCGGTCTCTTATTAAATTCAGAACGAAAACCAATTTGCGAGAGACGACCGCATTTTCCGGGTGACGTTTATTCTATGGTAGTGCACATATTATGTATACCTATAGAGCGTGTGTGTGAAAACACAAAAACGACATTTTCCGGGAGCCCGCTGCGGTGTAATAGAATTCGAATCGACCTAAAAGCCGCAACGCGTGTCCGAGAAAACCCGAGAGGTTTTTCCGCGGGATTGAAGTTGTTGTTACGAGAAATGACGAAAACGTCCAGATGACGATCTAAATCGGTATAATATAATATGTTACGGTTGTTGCGGCTGCGCGAAGGCGACTACGACTATGACGACGACGACGATAATAATAATATTATGGTTGCAGTGGTGTGTTATCGAACTATTTAAGAGTTGCGCCGCCGCACACTATTATTCCACATCCATCACCCACCCGATGTAGAAGCCGTAAAAACATTTTATACATTACTCGCCTCATATTATTTTATTGTTATTATAATTTATTATTTTCGTCTACGCGCGAGTAGTTAATTGCATGCCGAACCCTCTATCTCCGTCTTACATATCTACCACGGTTACACACGTTGGGTGGAACCGATTTCGTGTAGTAATCCTATTCTTAATATTACAGTGAACGATATTGACCTGAATTAAAGGTAAGCCTTAACCTAACCTAAATGCTGACCTAACCAAGAATGTCATAATATGATCATTATTCAATTATCGTGGAATTTCATCGATATAATTTACTTTTAAATCTATAGAATATATACTTTCTACATTTTCTATTGAGTAAAAAATCAAATATCAATCTAAAAAATAAACGAATTCTGTATGAAACGTTGTTAATGCCTATATTATAATATATCTTACGACATCGAAATGTGCAGAGCAGCCAAACCATCAAAATTACCAAAAACCAAACTACCAAAGTATTCCATTATTCCAATCAAGTATATACACTTTCTGCCTGATAACCGTGGATGCGCCTTTCTAAGTAATAATATACACTTTACACACTTCGATCTATCTAAACATGGACACCAAAACTGCTTCCACCTACCCCCTTCTATAGGTTATTCTGACCCACTTAGCCAAAGAATAATAGTGTCACTGGAAGGTGGCTTCTTTTTATCAGCCAATTCGTGTTAACCACTCGTACGCTTATTGCAAAAATATGGTAATTTAAAGATTGTGTATTAATTCTTAGTAACTCTAATTAAAAGAAATCTACTTATGGACATTTTAAATTTACAGTTTAAATTGAGATATGAATATAGAAAAACTACGAGGGGCCTGGACAATATTATATTATTATATCTGGGCTGGGAGTCTGATTGCAGATCATCGAACTGTAACGTCGTATAGACATCAACGCAAAAGGTTTTGCCAAACGCAGATTATCTGTATCGTAATAATTATATTATGTTATACGCAGACAACACATGCGAGTTCGGCGTCGTCTTAAGTAGCCATCGTCTATTAAAGTAAAACCATAAACCGCATGGACTAGACCCAATTCCGACGGGAACGGTTCATCGTGGCCACACGTGTTTACCATGTTTCCGCCCGGCAGGAGTCTGCAGCCAACGGTTCGGTTCGGTTCGGTTCCCCACTCGCGGGCCTCGCACACGGTCCTTGCAACAGCCTCAGATTTTTTTCAGTGCGAGCCGACCCTCTCGAACGTCAAGACATAATATTTTCCGGTCTGCAAGACTGTCGAGTCGCTGCTGAGTACCTCGGGGTATTACATTATACGCATAATAGTGCCGAAAAAATTATTTTACATAATAGTATATTATATTCCTATACCTATTATAGGTATTATATGACGTATATTAATTGTTATTATATAGTGTATAATATGGAGCTACAACAAATGCAGTCCCCGATAATCACAGTACGCTCGACCCGTCTAATATTAAAATTTAATATATATTTTACCGTCGACTCTACGTATATACAGTGATTAGCAGTGTAGTCCGCGGGGCGACGATGAAGACGAACGATAGTATAGGTAGCTGATATGATAATACAGACCTTATAGTGTCGCGGTCACCGTCGTCGCCAACGCTATCACACGATTATTACCTATGTTATTCGTATATTTATATTCTTATCACCACAACAGGTGTTATCTCTGGGCGCGGATATACTGCCCGAGTACAAGCTCCAGTCTCCCAAAATCCACAAGTGGACGATACTGCACTACAGCCCGTTCAAGGCGGTGTGGGATTGGATCATCCTGTTGCTGGTAATCTACACCGCCATCTTCACGCCGTATTTCGCGGCTTTCTTGCTGAACGAACCGCACTTCAAAGGTCCACGGCCGCTGAGGTTCAGCTTCGAAGACCCGCTGGTGGTGGTCGATTTTTTCGGTGAGTCTCTGCGCCGAGTTTCCCTCCGCGCGGTTTCCACAACAATTATTATTATAATTTTTATTATATCATATCCGTATACAGACGTAGCATAGTATCGTGTTTTATGTTTTTGATATTATATTGTAATGTAGGTGGTAGTGATCTTAATTATTATTAAGTTGATATAGTGTATACCTACTACTGTTTTATATTGTCCGCGGGCCACTGCGTAATTTTATCGAACGACGATTTATTATAATTATTGAGTATCATCGTATTTTATTTCGTTACGAATTCTCGGAAAACTCACTGTAGGTCAGTAGGTCACCTATCATAATATTTACCTACAACCGAATACCTATGATATGACGTTTTTCTTTCGATTTCTTCGGTTTCCGTTATCCGTCGTGTATATTATTATTGTGTACACGTATATAACAACGATGTCTTCCGTTTTCAGTGGATATTACGTTCATAATAGACATCGCCATTAACTTCCGTACCACTTACGTGAATAAGAACGACGAGGTGGTATCGGCGCCCAGCAAGATTGCGTTGAATTATTTCCGCGGATGGTTCCTGATCGATTTAGTTGCCGCCATACCTTTCGACCTCTTGATCGCTGGGTCTTCGGCCGAGACGGACGAGGTACTATCTTTATTTACTCAGTATATAATATTACAATATGGTTATATATATATATTTATGGACTTCCGCGTGCAAAAGTGTCTATTATATCTCGTTCTTAATATAATATCACCTATGCGTATGCGACATAGACAAATGGATGACGCGTAATAGGTACCTATATAACTGGGATTAGGATGTTAACGAAATGATTACAAAACCTCTTTAAAAAAAAAATGTTCTCAAATTCGATGGAAAAATATTTCAAATTTTGCACTCGTCGAATATTCGATACGATAAAATGCGTTAAGAATCGTACTATTTATTATTCATTCGAAATATACACTATGAATTATTTAACCAAAGAAACCGCACGTTTCGTGTTCACGAGTTAGCGTGCGAAATTGTGACACCTACAATAATAACGCCTCGTATAGACAATACCGATATGATATAGGTAAAGTATGTCTGTAAAATGTATATCGTACTACACTTGTGTGGAGTGAACTGCTTGAGCGTACGTGTATACGTTGTCAATCTAATAATAAATAAAAACAATATTTTTAAACGTTTCTTTCCTATTTATTCTCTCTCTGCGCCCTTCGATCCCTGCAGCGTTATATGGGGTCGGCCATCTTGAAACGTTCTCTTAAAAAATATGCAACATATAAAATGTAATTATAAGTACGATGTCGTACGAAATTAATTATTGTTAATTTGGTCCGAAACGTGCACGACTAAAAGAAAAAATATATAACTTATGTAAAAGTCATAAACATCCTAATCCTGATTATAACGAACATTGGAAAATTTACAATTTTTTCGTCCTTAAAATGTTGGCATATTATAGCTTATTATAGGATATACACCTATATTAACATAATATGCGACGATGAGTGATGACCCAATTTCTAAATAAATCCAAGTTTACCGTGCTCAGCTATAGCCTATAGAGATAAATATCGTAAATAACCCTTTTCAGACAATATAAATGCATGCATGACAATAAATTATTAAAATGTATACAACCCTTGGAGTTTTTGTAGTGTATTTTGGATTTTACTCGTATGTTAGTCTACGCGTGATTACCATCCATTTGTTTATCAGCCATACGTTTTTATGTAAAAGATACGATAAAAAATTACAACTTGAATGATAGTGTATCCATGTTGAGTTAAAATGCGTTTAAAAAAATATAAAATACTCGTGATGTTGAAGTCTAAATGAACACATTCATTTCAGACCTAATACACATGAATACACGCGGCTCGCGGTGAAAAAATATATATTATAATGATTTTAAATTTTACATGATTTTATAGAGTTATTTTTTCTTAGCGGATAATTAGACGATACTATTATATTTTATTATTATTATTATTATAGTCGTTAGATTGTGTGTGTCTAATATGACAATAATATTATATTAATATAAATGTTTTGTAGTATATATATATATTATTATTATTATTATATATTTATTATATCACAATAAATGTGGTTTTGTCGTGACAAATTATTATATTATATTAAACTAGGAGTACACCGCAGCGTGTCTGCGATTAAACATATTTATATTTATTATATCACCCTTAACAATAGTTTGATAATCGTTTCAGTTGACTCAGGAAACACAGAAGCCCGAAGAGGTTTGTTTGATCGGACAAAATATTTAGCGTAGTGCGTAGGTCTTAGAACGGACGACGTAGACATAATGTATGATGATAACATATTATTTTGTTGTCATTATTATTATTATATTATGAACGTAGTGTTTTGTATATAATATTATTATACTATTTTAAAAAACACCGTAAAATAAGTAGTTTATTAGTTTTGGTAGCGTCGCGGTAATTTCGCGTCTAGTACCTATATTATGCGATATTACCTATCACCTTTTTATTATTACTATTATTATCACGTATTTAGTACCTAATATATTATAATATTATATAAATATACATTTTTTCAGTGTAACAATGATTATATAATGCATAATAATAGCCTGTGCAAGACAGTGACGGTGGACGAGTTTAGTTTTTGTTTCGTCTCATCATCGTCACTGGCGTATAATACGGAATAATCGGGTTAACGTAAGACGCTCATTATAATATATTCAGTATAAACACTAAAGTTTTTTGAAAACATTTCTTTTACATAATTTCAAGTCGTTGCGAAACAGCATTTTCGTTAAAAAGTTATTTTTTTAGGTACTATATTTGTAAGTCTCCCTCTTTTGAATGACAACGTACGTTTTTAATTTCTTATTCCATAACAAAATATTATTCGGAGTATTTTGACTTAGGAATAAATACATCAAAAACTGCTCGTTGTCATTAAATAATAGTAAATATATATTTTTTTAGTAAAATTGTTGTATTACCTATAACGTAGCGACTTAAAACTATACAAAAAAAATATTCCAATAATCTTTAATAGTTTTTGAAACGATGATTTTCTCACGTTAATCGGATCGTCCGGTACAGTACTGTATAGTGTCTGGCTTGGAAGTCGCGATTTTAACGACCTCAATTTTATACTTTATACGGCCACGAATACGCGTACTTTGCGTGCCAGCCTGCAGCTGTATAATAATAATATCAACACTGATAACAATAATAATACACACGTGATAGCGTGATAATAGTTATAAGACCGTAATAACACCTGTTATCGCCCCGATGGCGACTGATACGATTACAGACCACAACCCTCATCGGTCTCCTGAAGACCGCCAGGCTGCTGAGGCTGGTCCGGGTGGCGCGGAAGATCGACAGGTATTCGGAATATGGTGCGGCGGTCTTGCTCCTGCTGATGGCCACTTTCGCGCTGATCGCCCACTGGCTGGCGTGCATATGGTACGCGATCGGCAACGCGGAGCGGCGTCATGTGGACAGCAAAGTGGGCTGGTTGGACATATTGGCCAACGACACGCACCAGTTTTACTCGCACAACAACACGGGTGGGCCGAGCATAAGGGTGAGTGACGACCCGGGTGGCGGAGAAGTGTGTGTGTGTGTGTTTTTCGAAATTTAATATGATATTTTGATTTAATGATTTTTATATGTTCCTTGATTTATACCTAAATATAAAATTTTAACATAGTATAATTTTCACTTTTTTCGATTTAAAGTATCATTTATAAATGTTTAAGATTTTAATTTTTTCATACTTAATTTCTACTCGTTCCACATTCGTCACTGTGCAACAGACCTACGAAAACGAAATATTAATATAACTTGTTCTCTACTGATGAAACTATTATAGTTATGGACGTATAATAATTGAATTTTAAATTTAAAATAATTTTTTTATAAATTATAAACTGTTTAGTGTATAATAAATAATAATAAAATGTATAAAACGATTATTATTTTGGAATAAATTATTGATTTAAATTTTTTTGATTTATCAGCATAGGGATATTTTAAATATTGTTAAAAAAAAATTTACTTTATTATTAGTTATGATTTCTTAAATGATTTTTAACGAACTTTATAGATATTAAAAATTGAATTTTAAATCGGTATTTAGTCCTGGTTTAAACCTTTTTTTCGACCACCACACATTACAACCCCCCTCGTAAACACCTGTTGATCGATACCATTGTATTCGTTTGTTCTTTTTTTTCCAGTCGAGATACATCACAGCGCTATACTTCACGTTTAGCTCGTTAACTTCCGTGGGGTTCGGAAACGTAGCGCCCAATACCGACGCGGAGAAAGCCTTCACCATATGCGTGATGCTCGTCGGATGTGAGTGAATATAGATTGATGATGTGCGATGTGATGGCCTCCTTAGCGACGCTTGACACATTATACCCGCACATACACCAGTTTTTTTTTGCGTTTTAAAAAAGATTTTTTTGGTCTATTATTTTAGTTATCATAAAGAGTAAAAAAAATAACACGTTCTCGATTCGATCGGAGAAACTACGCGTATAATCGCACATATCTATTATATAATATGTGGATATATTTTTACGAACTCGATTTAATTTGACACAAACATTAAGAGGACGTTGCACCCGCGTGTGTCTCTCCGTCTTACAAATGTACAACATGGAAAAAGCTGTTTTACGCTGGTAGGAACCAAGAACTTCACAGTCACAACGAAGAAACGAAATTTTCCCCACATGAAAAGGATAACTTTGGCTGTGCAATATCGTTTTTATTTTTTCGTTATTGGAACTCCAAAAACAGTTATTAAAGTTTGAAAAACAAATAATAATGGATTTTGAAATAATAAGAACTTTTCGTATAATAGTGATATCAAAAAAATAAAAACGATTATGCACAGCCAAAGTTCTCCTTTATACGTGGAGGAAAATTTAGTTTCTTAGTTATGACTGTAACCTTATTGGTTCTTTCCCGAGCAAAACCGTTTTTGCTATGCCGCACCTGTGTAAGACGGAGACAACATATGCGTGTGCGACGTCCTCTTAATGTAAACCGATAACCCGTTTTTTTATTTAATGATTTTTTTTCGTCAACATTTTCATTAATCTGTAATTTTTTTATAGCACTTATGTATGCAAGTATATTCGGTAACGTATCCGCAATTATTCAAAGGTTATACTCTGGGACAGCCAGGTATCATACCCAAATGCTCAGAGTCCGAGAATTTATTAGATTTCATCAAATACCAAACCCGTTAAGACAGAGGCTCGAAGAATATTTTCAAGTAATATTATTATAATCGATTTTTCCGAAATGTACGTTTTAGAAATAATTTTTTTATTTTTTAGCATGCTTGGACATATACTAACGGTATCGACATGAATAGTGTACTCAAGGGTTTCCCCGAATGTTTGCAAGCCGATATTTGTCTCCATCTTAACAGAAATTTGTTAAAAAATTGTTCAGCTTTCAACGGTGCATCACCGGGATGTTTGAGGTGAATAACTCTAACGCAATGAGCTTATAATAATTTATTACCTATTTACAAATTTAAAATGTTAATACAAATATTTAGAGCACTATCTCTGAAATTCCGGACGACACATGCGCCGCCCGGTGATACTTTAGTGCATCAAGGAGACGTGCTCACCTCTTTGTATTTTATATCACGTGGTTCCATTGAAATACTGAAAGACAATGTAGTAATGGCCATATTAAGTGAGTGTTTTATACGTAAATTTCTACTCAATAATAGATTAATTGTGATCTAATTTATTTTAGGTAAAAACGATATATTTGGGGAAAATCCATGCAAGCATGCCACGATTGGAAAATCATGTTGCAACGTACGAGCATTGACCTACTGTGATCTTCACAAGATCGATAGAAACGATTTGCTCGAGGTATTAGATTTGTATCCAGAATTTTATCATTCATTTAAAGAAAATCTTGAGATAACATACTACATGCGAGATGTGAGTAAATGAGCACATTTGCTACGAACAAAATTATAAAATAAATATTTATCTTGGCAATTAGGAAACACAAGTAGGCGTGGATCCTAGAGCTGGCAGGTTTAGTGGAAAAATCAGGTCAAGATCTAGTTCACAAGAACCAATTGGAGGCACGGCCAATGTTGGTGCGACAAAAAAATATTACCACAGCTTTCATCGAGGGGTATCTGAAAGTTGTATTGGACCGTCAGAGCCACTAAGAGATGATACGAATGAGAACGATAACGTTATGTCTGAGTTCAATAACAAGTGAGTCACATTCAGTATTTATTTATTTTTCATAAATTTGTATAGGGTGTATGAATATTATATTAAAATAAATATTTACAGTGAAAAGTACGCAGACGGTCATGGAATTTTAGAATTTTCTACCGATAAAGCTGGCCAAGATGTAACGCCGATGAATTTAAAATTTGATGACGAAGCAATACAAAATCGAGGATCGACCTTAAATTCAATCTCCGGTGAGTACCTATATCCGTATATTTTTTTTATCTTTCTCTTATTTTAAACAAGTATTTTCTTTGTGTCAATAACGACAAGTATAAAATATAATAATACTTACAGATAATATAGTCAATGATTAGACGAAGGACGGCAAAGCTGTTTTTAGAACCTTTTTATCTCCTTCGATTGTATTGTTTTGATTAATTTTATTAATATAGCTTGTACCATAAAGGTTAGCTGGGATAGTAACCTAAGCTTTGTTATGCGCTTTCTACCCAACAATTATAATAGCGTTTCCTTTAAGGTGAATGTTTATTATTCGTTATTTTTCTTGTTTGGGCGGGTTCAGGCATGTTCAGCCAACTCAAACGTAGTGTGACCGACATTCGCTTGCATGGCCTATCGCAAAAACCACATGGCAGGGACGAGGAAAATGGGAAACCTGGTAAATAAATGGGATAAACATAATGTATACGCAGTATACATAAACATTATATTTGTACCAACGTGAATTTATGTTTTTTACGCCCATCCATAGGAAACTCTGGTGGTTTAAGGACATCGACATCTCACAAACACTTGTTCGCATCTCAGTGTAACGAGAATCAACCACTTCTTGATCACCAGTTACCTAGTGAGAATTTGATTAATTAAATGTCAACATTTAAAACATTCCTCGACTGGATGTGACCCTAATAAATTGTTTAGTTTCAGAGTCTTCTGTGTTGCATCAACATCACAAAGAAAACTGTAGCGAGCACACCAGTGTACAAAACATGTCGGCAGCTGGTTTCAGTACGACTGCATCGTCACATTATGGGACCCCAACAGCCCAGAGCCCCTTACATTCCGCTTGTAAAGCACAAACCCCACCATTTCCCACCACATCTAGTAAATAATCTTGATTAATTAACTATAATTATGACAAAAACTGAACACACAAAACACTCAAATGTTAAAATCTCATTAAATCTTCATCATTTTTGTGCGTACATATATTACACAGTGAAATTAATATTAAACTCTGCAGTAGGTCAAGTATATAAGTATAATAATAGTATAAAATATAATTAGTTAAAATAATAATATATACAGTTATACTTAGATATTAATATTCATTATTTCAAAAAATTAAAATTATACGATACCTTCCCTGGGGAAAATGTTGTAGGACAGTAGGGAAACTGTTGTACAAAGGTATAGACGACGTGTTATAATTTACACAGTTTTTATCATATTTTCTACGGTCTAAATTAGAATTCATGCTCTCGTTTTATTTTAAGTACTAAAAATGAATAATTCAATTTTATCAACTACCTAGTGTCTGTGATGGCTGATAATACGACTGTGATAACGCCTCCATCGCCGCAACGTGTCATAACATGTTCGCAGTGTGGGCACTCCGATGTGCATTATCGTATAGACCGACTAACCAAGCAGCTTGATAACTTGGAACTGTCCGTCTCTAGTGATATCAAAACGATATTGCATATACTCAAGCACAAGAACGGTGAATTGTTGGCAACAGAAGTGAGTGAAGTAAAAAATATACGTTTAGCGATTGATAAATTAATATCTATTGATATTTACACCATGTCAGAATGTTATCAATAAAATAATAATAAAAAAAAAACTATAATTACTTTTAGTCTCGGCCAGATGGATGTAGATTACGGCCGTCGCCTATAAAGAAGACATCGAGCATACCAACAAGCGATCACTTGCCTAGACCCACGTTGGCCGTAAAATTTAGGCGAGGACAACTATTATTAATTACACTGTTATGACAAATAGATATTATATATTGTTATTATACCTACATTTAATATTTTTATTGAATTTGATAATAATATTATGATTTATGGTATTATAGAAGCTCATCACAAGATGAAATGAAAAGCGATAGCCGGTGTCGACAGCAAGCGTCTCCAATACGGCAATCGTCTGATCCTCAAGCCACCATTCCAAGGCGGAGTTATTCCCAGCCTCACGATCTCTGTCAGGTAAGACATATTTTATTTCGTTTAAAGCGATAAAAAATCATTTTTACAACAAATTAAGTACCTCGTTAGTTCGCATAAGGAACATTAGACAGGACACCTGAGTAACTTTTAACGTTATACCTGTACGGCTGTTCAGATTAATAATTAATAATGATATTTTTATAAAATTCGAGGATTTATAAGTCTTTACTATTGTTGAAGAAACAATAAACAAAACAATTGTTTTTTGCACAACATTTAATAATGGTCAGTAGGATTGGTAAATGGTAGGTAATACCACAGCTTATGGGATTCAATAAACCACTATCAAATATTCCGTTTTTAAATTGTACTGGGTATAATAACATTTATGCCAGTAGATAAAATAACATTGTTACGATAAACAAATAATGTACACGGTTATTGATAATAAACATTTCTGACATCAAACGAAAATTATATATAACAAAAATTAGATACAACAACAAAGGCCCAAAAGGTTCCTGTGAAAATCCATTATTATAACGTCAATAGTCCAGGTATATAGTGGGAAAATAACAACATTATTGTACCACAAGTGATAATGGCGGCAAAGATAAAGCCCCGGGACAGAGTAAATAGTAAATACTAATAACAATGTCGAATTGTTTTCATCTCCCGGGCACTGATGACCGTGTGCTAATAATGAAAGTCATTTTAAACACAGATAAATCAATGAAACACCAACGGATTTTCTTATTGTATAACATCAAAAGCTATGCAGATGGATATTTATATAATGATATAAGAGTATCGCGGTAAATTACCATCCGCATAGGAGAAAATGTATAGGAAATTAAGTTTAAAAAAAAAAATGACTACAATTTTACATTTTTACTACTCGCCTTTCTTAACAATTAATAAAACTAAGATCGAACAAAGGAAAATTGTATCATATAATAAACTATAGTTATTAGTTTGAATTCGTTGTACTTCGTTTTATTAAAAAGCCAAATATATTATATACATGTTTGTAAAAATCTTTTTTGTTTTAAAATTAATAATTTGGTATAAATAATACATCTAATATAGTTTTCCCATAGCAATACGATACCATTTAACTTAATAATTAATATCAATATTACAGTGAATTACATTTTAATTTCGGTTAAAAGCATTTGTATCAATATTATTTTTTAAAGTTGTTATTTTTTTTAAGTTATAAATTATTCCTTTTATTTAATATTTTTCTGTTACACAAAATATTTATTATCAATCTCGACATTAAATGCCACTAGCTGAACAAAAATGATGGACTAATTCGACCAATTTTACGACTTCTTGAAAGCTATATAGTATAATTAATAAATATTTATAGAATAGTTTATTTTTAAATTATTTTTTCTTGGGTTGAATGAAATAGTTTAGACTACATAGTTCTTATAGTTCATGAAAAATGAATAAAATGTAAAGTAGAGACTAATGCATCGCGCGCTCTTTCAATGAGCTAAGTGTACTTGAAAAAGTCAAGAGTTTTAGAAACTTGTATTTTTTCGTAGTGTTTTTTTTCTGTGTCTCATGTGCTTGAGTCATCAACATTTTTAAAAAGATCAAAAAATTATGCTATCGTATAATAATAATATAGTGACAATGAAATATAAAACTACAAGCTTTTATTTTTTAATTTCACGAGTCGTAAAAACATATAATTAAATAAAACAATAATAAATGTATGTTGCACAGTTGCAGTACCAAACATTATAATGCAATTATTGTAGCATCATTTAATTAACTTTGGCTGATATGTCGTCTGATTGTATTAAACAACAAAATTATGTAAAATTGTTACATTGTCTAATACGATTAAAACAAAACCTGATTTCGGTCAATACATGTATAAATAACCCAATGTTATTATACAACTAAACATCGGTACATTGTGGAAAAAATACTCTATGAATACTATATGCTCGTGTGTCGAATGAAAACCATAACATTTGATTGCTGGCGAGGTCGGCGGCAAAGTTTGCCTAAAGTAAAACCACTTTTATTGCCTACGATAAAATCGTGATACGCTCCGTTGGTGTTTGATTCGAACATAAATGCAATATACCTATATGCGTCACAGGACGTATCGAAGATTAAATAAAGTGCACACAACTATTTAAACCCGATGCCTTGAAAATATCTTGAAAACGTTCAACGTCAGTATATTGATCGTGTTCACCGACCTGCAGCAGTATATTTTATTAGTTCGTTTGTGCGTATTGTCTATAGTCCAGTGGTCTTCAACCACGACGAGTCGCCGTGTGAGCTTCACAATTGGGTCACGATGAGTGCTCCTTATACTTTCGATAATCAAAAACAGATTTAAATCTAAAACTTATATAGGTAGGTTGTAGGTACAATACCTATGAGATTGGTATAATTTGATCGATTTCATTCCAATCCTGCCTCAGCCGAATATGTTTTAGTAATAAATATAATATTATGGTCTCAAACAGTACATTTGATATCAACAAAACTATTAATTATGACCTACTTAATACTTATGATAAATTATTTATTTAAAATATTATTACATATATTTCAAAAAAAATTTAATTACCACCAAAACGAGTGGCGAATCCGAAAAGATTGAATACCACTTGCGTCTGGTCGTCTATATTATACTAAAGATGCAGTCTAAGTTAAACGTGTTTAATGACCGGCTATGTGATGACAACTATCCGGTGGACGTATAATATATTGTCTTTGCTCGGAGAAAACTGTCTGGTAGTTTTATTATTTTCAGATGTCGACCATAAAATGATTGAATCATATTATAAAGTATACAACATCGTCTGATATCTTTACTAAAAATATGCGTCACGCATTGCAATAGATATAATATATACGTACATTATTATCGAACGTTATTTTTGAAGTCAGCAAAAAAAAAAAAAAAATTATACATTTGATAATTAAATTTTAACAGACTTTTTTATAAATTACTCAAATGTAACAAAACTAAAAAGTATTATTTATTTATAATTGTACATAGTTCATTAGAGCTTACACTATTTTATTGTGGTTTTTGCTTTTAGTTATAAAAAAAAAATCCATTAAGTGATTAACGAGGTGGCTAATAATAATAATAATAATAATAATAATTAAATAATATAAATAATAATCTATACTGTTAGCTCTTTTAGTATCATTGTGATCATACATTTATATAATAACTTAATATGAAATATTATATTTTAACGGAATTGTAAAAATATATTACATTAATTTTATGTCGTGTTTACAGACCCAACAGAGTCGTTTTATAAGGGATACGCCATCGGCTAACCTATTCGATGTATCCAAGTGAGTAAACTAATCCAATCTATAATATACATATAGATATAGTACAAACGTATATCATTGCAAAATGTAAAAAAAATAGTAATAAAATTATCGAAAAAATTGTTATTGATATTTGTTAATAATAGGTACTGCAAACTAAGACTCGGACAGATATAAAATACCTATTTTTATAAAGTACCATTTAATTACTCTGAAAAGTGTTAAATACATTTAAAAAGATTCTGAATAAAATAAACAAAATTTCATATTACACATTTTTACACATTTTCCCATTTTCCCATAATTGTATACAAATATTGGCGAAAAAAAATTTTTTAAACAAGAACAATTAACTCAATCATAACGTGTTTGTCAGTATATGTGTAACAGTGTAACACTATAATGTAACCTGAATCCTGATGTATAAAATGTAAATATGTACTTTTTATTGTAAGGTACACATGTTATACTTAAATCAGCCTACTGTCTAGTGAATAAAAATGTTCATACTTTTAACGTTTTTAGTGTAAATCCCCAGGTACTTAAAAATATAATTACCTACTTGGTACAATATTGTGTACTATATATTTTGAACTTAATGGTAGCATAAAACTTTATGGTTACTACATATTTTTGGTATTTTAAAGTTAAATTAAATTTGTTATCTTATTGTACGAAGTTATATACATTAAATATTCATTACGATGCAAATAATATATGATACACACCTATCACATTATCACGTATATAGGGATATCATAAACTTTAAAAATATAAATGACTGCAGACCCCCTTAGCACCACTTTGAGAAAAACGCTACCATCAAAATTAAAATGTCCAACAATAGTGGGCAACAGCGCCCCCTCCCCCCACGCCGGGAATCGCTGATATTTTTTATGCGAATACATCATCGATACGACATATTAATCAAACATCAAAAAACAATAATAGGACAATAGATTATTAAAAAAAAAACCCCATTAAAACGACGACTATACGATTGTATTATATACGACTTATTATAGCATTGTAATAAACGTTTATTGTGCACATGATATATTATAGCGTGACGACTGTAGCAGACGCCACACCACCGGTGGCCAGTCTGAAACGACAGCAGTTCGCCAGCTTGCGGTGCAATACTAGTTGTTCCAGCGATGAAGGCAACGTAATAGAGTTCACGCCACTGGCGCCACTGGCCAGGCTAGACTCGTTACACGAAATGGTACGATGGATGTTATTTTATATTAATAAATTGTATTGTTTTATACGCGTCCGTGTATACCTACGTGGTATTGTGTTTTATATCGTATAAATATATATAGATAGAACCCCGAATCAAACTGCGGTGTTAGGCGGTGGTTAGGGCGTTGGTGGTTGGGGGTGAGCTCGAGGTAAGGGACATGGTTACGGGTCTGCTTTTCGACAGTGGAAACGTGCTTTTATCGGTTTTTCATATTTTATGCCGTGGCCTCCAGCTGATAAATATACGCGATTGCAGCTATTGCCGTTGTTCGAGGTACGATAAAACCAATAGCGATGAAATCGTTTGCGGGCATTTGGCGGAAAAAAGTCGGTCATCGAAAGCTTCGTGAAAGCTACTCCGTCTACCGTGTGTCGTAAGGTACACGGCAGTGCGCAAACTATGTAACACTGTAGCAGACTTTTTGAAACGTTTTCCCTTGAGGCTGTCGAAAGCGAACCATTTTTAAGGGGTCGAATTTAGGCAATATTCTATATTCATCTTGAGTGATGTGTGACTGATCGCTAGTGTGCGTGAGTTCCCCGAAAGCTTTATGTAATTAAACACAAACTACGGCTACGATATTCTTGTTAATCAGTAACGTACATATATACAAGCGCAGTTACAAGTCACTATATACTCTGCGATAAAAAAAGTTTGAACACAAAGGTCCCAAAAAGCAGGAAAAAATCCCCCCTTTCTAAAACCCCGATTTTAATTTTGATACATATTTGAATTCCTTATTTTCTTTTCTTGGTTGTGTAGGAAATGAGTTTTCGTTTTTTTTGTATCGTCAAATAGTATAGTAACCGAATAAATTGTCTTTTTAAAAAAAAAATATTTACCTATACTTTATGGTGTTACTAAAAAAAAAAAAAAAATTAAAAGAGAAAAGAGAAAAGAGAAGAAGGAATTCAAATATTTTTTAAAAATTAATTTGGTCTTCTGAAAGTTTATTATTTTCTTTTGCTTATTGGTCTAAATGCATGAAAAAACGACCAGCTTTCAACATCTTTTACTTTACACGGACATTTATTGACTCCTTCTTGCAAATACGTAACATACCAAATGTACGCTCAGCAGATCACGTTTGGCTTCGTTTCTTCAAAAATTGTAGTGAATCGAAATAGGTATCATGAAATTTCAAGGTAGAAACATTATCTGTGTCTGTATAATATTATTATTTTTTATTTATTTATTTCAAACATTACGGGCAGAGCCCGTATAATATATACGGTTAATTCAACTTACATGATATAATAAATAATAACAATATTAAATATTAAATATTTCATCATTGAATTCAAGTTTAATACAATCCATTATACAATGACCCATTTGTAACCTACTGTACAGCAGAACGACATCCACTTACCCGCTTTTTACCGTCAAATTTCATTGTTGGCTGATTCACTCCAATTTATAAGCTATCGACGCTAAAACGTGAACTGCTGAGAGTAAATTTACGATGTTACGCACTTGTAAGACTGAGACAACAAAATATGCCTGTGAAGCGTCCTCTTAACTGCGTAGTCGTTTCGTACTTTTCATAATATTACGTTGTATATTTTACTCTTACATAACTGGTAGGTCCTTAATAGTAGGATGCACACACCGATATTAAACCGACGTCAGCGCTTAGACGCTTCTTTGAAACAGTGTTCGATCGGTATCTAGTAATGAAAAACATTTTAAAAACAATTATCAGTTTAACGCATTGCTACTAACCACGCGAGAATAAAACGATATTGTTGCGTGAGGTGAAAACAAAGAATTGATAATCACCAAACGATTTTTTTTTATAGACCTGTTCTATTTGGTTATATATTTCGATAACGTCATTTTAAACATACCTATTGCATTAAACGGTTATAGGATGGTCGATATGCCCTCTATGCTAATTTCATATTATAAATTACAATTTATAATTATATACAGAATATCGAGACGGGTCGCTCTACCCACACTGACCTGGACGTCTATCTCATATATACGCAGCGCATCCCATACATCTCTTAACTTGAGTATCTGCAGGTGCTAAGCCCCCAAAAATGTCCATAGCCCCCCCAAACATTTCCTACATTTCGTTTTAAGCTTATTCAATATTATCAAAGTAAGGCTTTAGCCCCTCCCCCAAATCCTAAACGCAATTTGCTGCAGGTACTATACCGTCACAATATTGATTCAAATGTATTACTATTGTAACACCTCCCACCCGCCAATTGAAAATGTCTGGACCTCACCAACACCTAATCAATAATCATTAGTCATACCTACCTACTGCAACAAAAGTTACGTATCAAACAGATATTATGACGAATGTCGTTCAACACATGTAATATACGACTGTAAACGTACGGATTGAGAGGACCCTACAGAGACATTAAATTGTTGTCTCCGTCTTGCAAGTGCGTCAAGTCATAGCAAATTTAGCAGATCGCGTTTAGCTCCCTTAGTTTAAAAATTAGAGCGAACTGACCTCTTATAAAATGTAAAGGTAAGATTTATATTATGAGAATCTCATATGTTTTTTTATTATATTTTCATTTTAAAGCGAGTTATGAGAATTTTATGATGTACAAGCAATTTACAATTTTAAAATACTCATAACTCGCTTCAAAATTAAAATATATTAAAAATCCTTCTGTACTCCAGTCCACTAGAGAAGATTACAGTTTGGCGGACTGACGGCGGAGACCGTTCCGAGGGCCCATTTCCCCTACTATTTCTGCTACTGTGGCAGGAAGTGAATACAGAGTGTATGAAGGGATATCATATTACACATAGTTCGCGGAGTCGGACGAATTTTCGTTGGGCGGCTATAATCTTCTCTCGTGGGCCGGATTATAGATAATAGCCCTATATAATAATCTTACCTTTAAATTGTATAAGAGGTCAGTTCCCTCTATTTTTGAGCTAAACCTGCTGGGCTTAAAACTTTCAATGTTACGCCCTCGTAAGAGACGGAGACAACAAAATGTGTCCGTGCACCCTCCTACGGATATCGATCGAAATATTATAATATTGAGTGACTTACTGTTCGATTTGTTCGTCTCGCAGGATACATCAGAGACGCAGAGTCGTACGAGCAGTACGACGGCCAGTCCAACGCACCAACAGCAACAAGGAACCGGTTTCTAGCGTCGTCAGCACCCACTGTGACGAGGGCGCCATCATATATTCACGAGCTTGTTTTTGACTCTTCGTTTCAATTTTTTTTCTTTGATTTTTTTTTTTACATAAATCACGAAAAGCTTTGCTCTCGAGTAAAATATACGTACATCCACTATAAATGTTGACATTTTTATTCGTAAACACACGTTTTTAAAGAAAAAAAAAACAATTATTTATCTAGCGTTATTTTTGTTAAAACTCATCTACGGATTTTATATACGCTGTAAAAAAAAAAAAAAAGACGAATAATTTTTTATAGGGGTTTTAGAAGATCGAATTTCATTTTAGATAGACAAGCGTCGACTGGGAACTATATTATATTATATATTATAAATTATAATATTATTATACTTGGTTTTTATTATATGTAAACTATACGGAATATTGAATTTTTATATTTTTAATTTTAGGCATAATTTGTTTATTTTTTATCAATAGCAATTTTTAAACACACTTTGCTTTTTAGAAAGCTATTTGTACATTTTTTTTTTTTTTTTTTGTAATAGTAAAAATGTAATGTTCGTTCATTAATTACCTGTTCTATGTCATTGTCACTGATCCCTACAGCTTCCAGTTACTTATCCGATACCCAATTTTTTCGTTATTACCTGTCAATGTACTAATGCGATATTGTTTTGAAGCAGGCCCGTGTTACTCTCAAACGCATTAAATTCTTCCTTTCCGTATTTGTCAATATTGTATTTTCCCATTATTTGTAGACTTTAAACCTCGCTTTTTATGTATCATTTTTCCGGTATATTAATTGTGGTTCTACAATATTATTATATTATGCTAACAATAAATTGTCTGTGCAATAATAATATAATAACAATAATAATGATTGTTTATATCCACGTGCTCACGTTAATTATTGTAAAATTTTTACATTTTATATTTTATAAGTAAACAAAAAAAAAATAATTATTAATGAACACCAATATAATTCCTGTTACAATTTGTTTACCACCATCAATATTTTATTTTATATCGTTTTGTTATTATAAACTATATATTATTAAAAACAATCAACTGTATTGTAGTTTTAAACAAACAAATTCCAAATTTGCAACGAGACGCAAAACAATTTACATGATGACTGTTGTACCAACTATAATCAATCGAAATAAACTGTAGAAAAATAAAACTTATTGATCCTATTTGAATAAGTATGTCATTTATCTTGAAAAATATGTAATGCAAGTATAATTTGAAAAAATTTTAATTTTCCTACCACAATACCTATACTACAATGATTAATGAAAATGTTTTTTCCTTGTTCAAAATATTTGGATAGAATAATATTTTTGATTTATTAGGCAGTTATGTTAAGTATACTATAATCATTTATTTCAATAAATAGATAATATGTAAACGCCAAATAATTACTTTTTTAAACAATCTTGTAACATGGTTACTTTTTTTACTCGTAAATAGTTTAGTAATGTTCTAAACTTACTAATGTACCTATTAAGAATACATTTTATATCCATATAGACTCATAGTGTGCTCTCGTAAAATTAAATATTATATTTTTACTAAACATAAAACATCACCGCGTCATAGAGACCACAATAATGAAAGTGTATTCAAAGTGTAATAGGTATTATGGTAATATTTGAAATACAATTTAAATAATGAAATAATCATATCAGCCATAAATTATTATTTTCTAAGCAAACATTTTTTTTAAATTTCAATAGTAAAAGCAATATAGAAATTTGAATAATTAAATATATTATTTCTGGATTCGGTCAAGTTCACGGCCTATATTGTGAGATACAGTTATCGAGAAATCGCTTGGCATGTCACACATGTCACCCCCCCCCCCCCCCTAGACAAATGTGAAATAATTATAATTTTTTGTTATAGTAAACAATATTAACTATTTTTACCGATGATATTATAATACATGGCATATTATATAGGTATTTACCATATGTATACATCGTTTATCCATGTTGTGTATTTATTTTCCAAACAAAATCAATTTGGTTGGCTCTTAATTATATATTATGATTAGAACAATCGTTCGGTTTTAACGACTGCACCGAAGAACTGTGGATTGATAAGGATGTGAGAAAATGATTAGATACATACTTGATACATAATATTATAATTTTCGCCAACAAATTGCCCGACGTCTTGGCTGTAGCCCATAAGCGTAAAATATGAACCAAACTCAAACCAAAAGCTCAAAAATAAATAACCCATAGGCGCAAAAAAAATTACCTTTTTAATAACCCATAAGCGCAAATCAATTTTATAAAAATAATGTAATTTATTAAAATCGTAGTTTTTATTAATATTTAATTTTACAGTGATATTAAAATTAGTGATATTTAAATTAGTTAAAAAAAAACTGTAAAAATCAAAAAATTAGTATTAAAAATCTGCAAAAATTAAAAAATATTATTTTGGGTATTACTTTAAATTAGTTAAACAAGTATCATGAGTAAATAAATTAATATATTAAACTAATATAATAATGAGTAGGTACCTTAAAATTAAATTTGAAATATGAAGCCTTCAAGTATTCCAATCTGGAATTTTTTTCTTTATTCAAGGTCCCAGTTTGTGTGTTGGAGATGACTTTAGATTTGTGATTCGTAGTTTTTCGACCATTTGACTGTATGTTTTAAATAAACTTCTGCTTAGTGTGCTTTAATCACATTAATAAAATTATAATTATATGAGTGCGGGTTATAATTTGATCTTTCAAATGACTGTGACCACAGTATTATGAATATGAAATATTTTTCGTTTTCCGTCAAAATGTTGGATATTTCAGACTTAGTTTGAATAATATAAGTACATCGCCCAGGTATATCTCCGATTGCCATTAATCGTGGATGTCTGTTCTTAAAATTATTGAACACAATACGTCAATACACCTTTATTTTTGTAAGTTAATATGTACAATGTACATGACATTTTAATGATTCATTCTTGAAGACTTATAATTTTAATTATAACACCGAAATATAGGTGGATATCTGGTATTTCAAAATTTCACTCGAATTTCAATTAAAAATAAAACTGGTCGATAAGCCATATAAGTAATAATCTATATAGTTGCAAAGCTATATAGTCATCAAAAATCCCATTTGATGTAAATTTAAACTGTACTATATGTCTATATGTTTACTATTATATATTGTATATTACAGTTATTTTAAATGATTATCAGCCGTCATCGTATATGCTGCAGACATTATATTTATAAATGATAGTTGGTAATAATAAGTTAAAAAAAAACAGGCAAGAAATTTGCAATATTGAGGAACCAACTAAATTAAATTTGGTATCAGAAATAACCCTAAACATTTAAGACCTAATGACTATACACAAAACGTGTACACACATAATCGCAAAGTCAATACGTCATTCATCGTTCCGTTGAGAATTTAAAAGACTTATATGACAGCATATTATACATCGAGCACTGCAGTACACCTAATTCATATTAAAATAAGGATCCTCGTTAAAATATTATAATCTAAAATCATAAAATATTATGATCCCGTGCACTTCGTTGTAACCATTAAATATTCCAACTCTATATGAATAATAAATGATAATTGTAATACTTTTCCTTATAACTGTTAATGAAACTGAGAAATCATTATAATATATTAGATTCTGAGCGGAGCGATTTTACAATGGTGTTTATTATTATTTTTTTTTATTCTGTACACGAAATTTCTACCAGAAGGAGTGCTTTGATTTAAACACAATAAATAGTATCTTATCTTTTAGCAAATTGGATCAAGGTGGTACTTTAAAGAGGTAATTTTTCGATATTCTCAATAGTTATTTAATGTAAACGGAAAAACCACCGACAAATTACGAAAAACCGCTAAAAACGGGATTTTAATTGCTTTGTTTATCACTAAAATAAAAAATATAATTATACATATTTGTTTCTTAACACGGGTTTTAAGGTCAAAGTATTACGAACTGAAAATGGCTTAGAATATGTAAATAAAGAAATAACAAGTGCCTTACAGAAATATGGTATTTTTAGCCATCAAACAACAGTTCCATACACACCGGAGCAAAACGGGAGATTGAAAGAGATAACCAGACGATAGTATAAGCAGCAAGGACTATGTTACATATAAAAAATCTAAACAAAACACTTTGGGCAGAATATTAGAGTAAGGCTGCCAATACCTACAATCAACAGATAAGGTATGAGTTCAAAGATATAACACCGCATGCAATTTATTTAAAAAAAACAACTTGAGATTAAACATTTAATAGTTGTTGGCACAAATATTTTTTCACATATGGCAAAACGTCAAAAATGGGACCCTACTCAGGGGCGGACTTACCATTTTTCCGCCCCTAAGCATTACAACACTAGCGACCCGTACATTGGAGTGCTTCCATGGGAGGTGGGGAAGTCTTGACGGTTCCATACTGTATTATGTTCTCCTTCGAGTTTTTTGATTACTGTGGACATGAAACATTAAAACTATGTACCTTTTAAGTCAAATTGGTCATTTTGAAGGAGGAGGAGGGATCGCAAGCCGTCTATTTGGTAAAATTTCTAGTTTGGTTCAGGTACTAACCTTTTCGAAATGAAGCACAAGTGTCACCTTTGATTTAAAGTGATCGTACTCAATCAATAGAAATGTTACATAAAATATTATTTGAAAAATAACAGTATATTGAGTGAAGCTGCGGTTTATTGACAGTCGTTTAAATGACGGGGCAGTTGGTCTTATATAACTCTTATTTGGATTTCACAAACCTATATAATTATATATGCACTCATTTAAAATTATTTACAACTACACTTAACTCTTAAAGTTCTAGGAACTTGTGATTATAATATTGAAATATTTTATACTGTAGGGGACACCCTCATAAAGTCAGTAGCACAAGTCACAATCATAACAGACACATTTAAGGTGTAATATAAAAATATGTTGGCAACTTGTTGGACAGTGTTGGATTATTCC